TGGATAAAAATTCTATTGCGGGTCATGAAATGCATGTCAGAACCAGATTTTGCTACCCGTAGAGAGAGAGAGAGAGAGAGAGAGAGAGAAACAAACTTTTTTTTTTTATTTGCGGACGTTAAAGTTTTCTTAAAAATTTAAAAAAAAAAAAAAAAAAGACATCAACGTAGGATGACTCGAAATGAAAAATAAAATAATTTTTCCCTGTTTTTAAAAAATCACAAAAAAATGGAGGAGTGGTTTATTATATTCTCGTTAAAAATGTTATTAAAATAAAATTCATGATTATTTTCTAAAAGAAAACTTTGCAATCGAGCATGTTATGTTATAAAGGACCCAAAGGGTGACAAAAAAAAAAAAAAAAAATTTTCCTTTTTTTGTTCTCAATTTTAATGACCGAGTGTTGTGTGTTTATAATAAGTGAGTGAGAACAAGGCAGAAAAATAAAATAACAAGACAAAGGAAAAACGTGTTTGTGGTAAATTGTTCTTTGTCTTGTCTAATTCCACGACAACCGCATGCAAATTCTTTTGTAATTAATGTCCTAAAGCTAGACGAACGAACGAGGAAGGGAAGGAGGGAACGTTAGCGGTGACGTCAATTGGCCTCGTTTGGCCGCGGCGTTCATATAATGCCGCCAAAGAACACACACACACACGCATACAAAGTATTTGCATTTTTTCTAATTCATTACTTTAACCCTTGCGTGCACGAACGCCTTTTTTTTTGTTACAAATTATGGGATTTTTCATCGTTTTTTTCTCTCTCTCTCTCTCTCTCTTTCTTTTTCCACGTCTTTTAAACTTTTCCGTTCGTTAATGATCTATATATTAAAATGAATTTTCAAACGGATAATTCGATGCATGCATGATTTTCTTTTTTTTTATTCTCGTTTTTAAAAAAAAATTACTTTAAATACATAAAATAAATAAAAAATAATTTATATAATAAATAAAGAGAGAGAGAGAGAGAGAGAGAGAAACAATAAAAATTTATGTTAAAAACCCTAAGAAAAATGAAAAACGTAACTCATTCCAAAGAAAAGCAAAAAAAACCATTAAAAATGATTACACTGATTTATACAGTTTTTCTTCTTTTTCTTTTTCTTTTTTTGCTCTTAAAATGAAATAGAAATTGATAGAAAAAAAAAAGAGAGAAAGAGAGAGAGAGAGAAAGGAGAAATCTCTTGGTAGATATAAAAGGGCTTTGAAATGGGTGGAGACTAAAAAAAAAAAAAAGAAATGACGAGAAAAAGAAAAGTAAAAAAAAAGGAAAAACTTTTTCGATCAAACGTAATAGAAAAAAAAAAGAAAAATAAGAAAACAATCCGAATAAAAGCGATGCCGACTTTGAAAGGAAAAAAAAAAAAAAGTTTTGATTGCAATAGTAAAGCTCATTTTGTTTCACGATCGTTTTTAAACTGATTTAAACCTCAAAACTAATTTTTCTTCTGCTTTTTCTTTTTTTCTTCCATTTCGGAAAATCATTTTGGAAAAGGGGGATGTTATTTTTCTTTAAAATATTTTCCTTTTTTTTTTCCCCAACATAATATTATTTGTTGGAAAAACAACCCGTAATTATAAACCATCGTAATGAATGATAGCTAAACAAACAAACAAACAAACAAACAAACACACTCACCATCTTTATTCATACCCATTTGTAAACATTTTTTCAATCTGCATGCTTGACATTGATTTCTATGTGCTTTGTCTACAACGCATCTACCTGTACCTGCTTGACACCTGAAAAAAAAAAAAAATTAATTATAAGTAGTAAAATATTATTATTATTTCCAAAAAAAAAATTTCATTTTCCATTTATTTAAATTTTTCTTTTTGTCAACGTCACGATTGAGATTTTTCTTTTTTTGAATTTTATTTGAGAAAAAAGGTTTTTTGCCCTTTTGCCTTTTTATTTACTTTTATTGAGAATGAAAACAAACGTGACGAGAATAAAAATTTTCCCTTTTTTTCTTACATTTCTTTAGTATTTTAAAATTTTTTTTTTTATGTTTAACTTATGTAATTTTTCCCAAAAGAAAATCATCATGACAAATAATCAAATTTTTTATTTTTTTTTTTATTTAAGTGTAAATCCGTTTAAAATAAATTGATTTAATAAAATAATAATAATAATAATATAATTTAAACAATAAAATGTCTGATGTTTAGTTGATAAGAATTCAAAAAACGATATTGAAATAAAATTAGATGATGATGATGATGATGATGATGAGGATGAGGATGATGAAACCGCCGAAATCATGATGAAAATGAAAATCAAAATAAGAGGATTGGACTTAAAAAAGAAGGAAAAAAGGATTAGTTATAGAAAAAGCGATAGATGAAGAAATAGAAAGGAAAGGAAGGGAAGGGAGAAAGGCGGCGGGAGCGGGAGGCGGGGGCGGCAACAGTAACAGCAGGTCCCATGTGTTCTAACAAGGGTCAAACTAATTGATTTGGGGTTTATGCTCTGTGGGATGAACTATTCTAGGATTATAAAGAAAAGCATTTGGGAAAATAAAGACTTTATATAAAATGATTATCTTCGTACTTGGATCCTTTTTTTTTTTTGCACTAACAAACACTGATTGAGAAAAAATATATTATTATTATTATTAATAAGGGGTTCGTATAAATATTTTGCGTGCGTGTGTGTTCCTTGAAATATTATTTATCATGTAATTTATTACGTAATTATTATTATTATTTAGTCAAATGTTTGTTTATATTTTAAATAGTAAATTAAAACAATAACAAACGAACAAACAATTTATGTACGTACGACAACTATCAATATGACGTCAGACGTTTCGTTATTTATTTTAAAACTAAAAAAAAAAGGAGAAAATTTTTTTTATTTAATAATTTTTTTAAAAAACAGAGCAACAACAACAACAACAACAACAACAACAGCACAACACATCTGCACATAAAATCAACTCATTTGAGACTCGCACTTAATGTCAAAATAAAAAAAAAAAAAAAAAAATCGTTTAACATATTCTTAAATCAATTTAAATCCCGGGAGGAAAAGTATTAAGAGAGAATTTCCCAATGGATGATACCATTTGTCCATTGAAGGGCATGTCCTAAGCCTTTTTTCAATGGCCTTCACATGTAAATTATTATAAAATCACTATGATATCATTTTCATGTGAACGTTGATACTTATTTTACCCCCTATTTATTATCCCTATTTTTCTTTTTTTAAATTATTACAAATCTTATTTTTTAAATGTAATTGATGACTTTAAGGGGTGTAAAAAATCGTGTGGAGGAGGAGGGGGGGAGGGGGGTGGTTTACAATGTTTCAAACATTTCATTCTGAATTTTTTATTTATATATAAATTGAAGAATTAAAATTTTTTTAAAGAGTATGAGATGAAAATATATGGAAAAATATAATTTATCATAAATTCTCTTGTCGATCGAACCTTAAATGTTACAATAATAATAATAATAATAATGTGAAAAACGTGGAAATAATAAGTATCCGATCGTGAAAATTGAATATAAAAAAAAAAAAGTCGGCACTATTTAAAACGATAATTAAAAGAATAGTCGTTCATAAGTTTTTTGAATTATTTATTGATGGTTCCCACGCGTGTCCAGTATTCCCAAGCCAACTGTTACGTGATTTTGTAAATAAATAGAAGATATTTTAGGGGTTAACAACTTTTAATTCAGGATAAACTCATCGATTCATTTAATTTTTTAATTAAATTTAACTTTTATATTTTTTTTAAAAAAAAATATGGTATGAAATTTTACCTGTAAATTAATTTACGTCTGACGCTTCTTTTGAAAAAACCGCTGCATCCGTTACATGCAAGAATTCCATAGTGTTTTCCAGAACTTGTGTCACCGCATACGACGCAGGACAAACCGAGTATTTTGCCTTTGTTCACGGGAAGGTGTCCAAGTAGAAAAGGACTGGGTGGAGATCTTTGAGCTTGCACAACTGTTTGATGATGAGGAGTACAAGAACCCAAACAAAGTGGTAGAGGATGAGCTGGACTAGAACCCGCCGAACAACATTCTGGAGAAGAACCCATTCGAATAGTATTTTCGTTTCCGTGAACACCTGTAAAAAAAAAAATTGAAATTTTTTGTTTAAAAGAAAATATATAAAAACATCTTACGTAAAACATTTTCAATTTCCGGTAAAATAAAAGTAAAAGTAGGAAAATTTCAATAAAAACATGAAAACGAGATGGATATATTGAAAATAAAGGTGGCGGCGGCGGCAGAGACGGCGGCGGCAGCGGCGTCAAGGGAACGAGCGCCGCCGAGATGTCAAAGCCTTGTTACAAGTAGAATCAATTTGTGAAATTTCATTAGCATATCTATTGCCTTTTTCTCTACTTTCCTCCCACCATTTTTCTTATTTTCCTCCTCAGCTTCTATCTTGATTAAACGACCAAATCTCCATTGGGGATAATTAATTTTCGATTGCCTTCCACCGGTTGGCACTATGCACCGCAAATAAAGTTGAGAAAAGGGGTGAGAAAAGAGATTGCTACGCACTTAATTCTATTGACACCCTCCCCCCTCCCTCCTTCCTTCCTTCCTTTCGGATCTTGTGAGCGCTCCCTTCCCCTCCTCCACCTCTCCCTTCCCTTTCCAATTCAACCCCTAAGCCACCACCTTTCCTCCGGGTCGTGACGAGGATAGAAGCTGAAGGGTAAACGAAAAACTCGTTTGCGCAGATCTTTACCCCAGATCTTGCTGAATTCCTTTTCGCTTTGATTTGTACTTCTCTCTTTCTCACTTGTGTCTTCTTCTTCTTCTCTTTTTCTCTAAACCCTCTTTTCTCAATTTCTTTTTTTAAAAAAAAAAACATTCTATTAAAATAAAATTAGTTTCTATCAATTTTAAAATAAAACTTTTTCATTCAAAAAACGTCCATGATTTTGTTCAACATGTTTTCTGTTTTTCCATTTTTTAAATTTTACAAAATGTTTAATTAATATTTATTATTAAAAAAATGTATTTATTTATTATTAAAACAAAAATTTATGTATTCGAAAAGAGTAAAAATTTCAAAATGTTTAATAATAATAATTTTTTGTTGGAAATTTTCATGATTTTTCCAACAGGAATTTTAATTACGTCACTAAAATTAATTTTAAAGCCGAATCAACAAACATAATTTCAAATTATTTCAATAGTTTAATGTTGGAAAACAACAACAACAAACAAAAAACAAAAAACAAACTTTACTCATTTAAAAAAAAAAAAAAAAATTCGAGTCGTGAAAAAAGGAAAAAAAAAAAAAGAAAAACGGGGAAAAGTTGATGATGGAAATTCTTCAAATGATTTTACTCGATAATGTTATTATCAACACCCCGAGAGAGAGAGAGTTTTTATCAAATTTATTTTTTCATTTTATTTGATTTTAACAATTATTTACAAATCAAAATAACCTTTTTATTCATTTCCCCTTTATTTTTCTCTTCCTTTTTTCCTTTTTTTTTTTCCTTTTTTGTTTTCTGATTTGTGTGTCTCTCTGTTTTTACTTCTTTTTTTCTCTTTCTCTCTCTCATTTTTTTCCCGTTTGTTGCTCATTCATTCATTTATTGTTATTATTTTAAATAGGATTAAAATTTTCATTTAATAAATCAAAGGAAAAAGAAGGAAAATTGTTTTTCTTTTTTCTTTTTTTTTTTCTAATAAAAGGAAAATGCGATTAAAACGCGTGAGGCAAAGCTTAAAAAATAGAATTCACGCACGCGTATATAATTTAGATTTTTCAAAGTTTAAAATCAATCTTATTATTTTATTTCATTTAAAAAAATATATTATATATTTATGTATTTTAATAAATACATAATACATAATATTATTAATCGTCGAACGAGTGATTTTTTCGTTTGTTTGTTTGTTTGTTAATTTCTACGGTAAGTCAAATAGTCATGGGATTAAAAAAAAAATTATGTAGAAAATGTTTTTAGTTTTTGTAATTATTTCACGTATTCGCCCGATAATAATAATAATAATAATAATAATAATAATAATGATCGTTATGATGTTATTATTAATTACACATGCATGTAAAAAATTAAAAAAGAAAATTATCGAACCGTAAAAATGCCAGACGGTTTAAAATCAAACAAAACAAATTAAAAATGATATTTTTTTTGGTGTCAAGGATAAATTATAACAAGTTTTATCGATAAAAGACAATAAAAGGAAAATTTTTTTTTAATATTCTAAAAATAAATAAAAAAAAGAAGGAAAATTCACGGAAAATTTGATCCTTTTTACATAATCCTTTTTCCACGTATGATATAAAATGAGAAAATGATTATGAAAAAAAAAAAAAAAAACCTTTTCTCTTGTTTTTTTTTTTTACGTGTTCGGACTGCGAAATAAAAACAAAAAATTTCCCTCCCCCCTCTCCCCACATTTTTATTTTGTCTCCCCCTTTTTTTTTTTTTTTAAACTCCATTTAACAACATTTTGTTGTTGGTTTTTGTAAAAACGTTTTGATTATTAACAGAGAAAACAAAAATTATTGTAAACGCGCGTTTGTTTTATTTAATCGAACATTGTTGTCAAATTTAAATTTATGTAAATAAATAAATAAATAAATAAATAAATTTTTTTTTACGCCCTTGATAAATATTATTAAACAAAAACTCCCAAATATATATACATAAAATTTAATATAAATAAAATATTTTATTTTACCCTTATTTTCAATATCCGTGACTAAAGGTAAAGGTTGCTGTTGTTGCTGTTGCTGCTGCTGCAATTGTTGTTGTTGTTGTTGTTGTTGCGATTGTTGATGTAATTGCGCTTGCGATGATACCGATGATTCTTCCATTTTCACTTATTAAAATTTTTTTTTTTTATTAACTTTTTATTTAATTAACGTCATCAGTTTAAATTTTTTTTTTTTTAATAGTCAAACATATTTAATATTAAAAACAAAAAACAAAACAAAAACATTTATGTTTTAATTAATAATTATCCGTTATGTATATTTTATTTATTTATTTTTATTTATGTATATTAAAAAATTGTTAAATTGTTAATAATAATTCAAAATATTTTGTTTAAGTTGATGTAAAAATGTTTAGCAACAAACTATGACTACGATGAAAAAATTTACAATAAACATGATTATTATTAAGAAAATTTGAATCGTTTTTCTTTTTTTTTTTTTTTAAGTTCAAAAAGGCGTGGTCTTTTAAAAATGGAAAAGCGGAAACAGATTTTAACCTCCCCGGTTTTTGACGTGAAACTATGAAAAAAAATACCTCCGATTATAAAGGCACAAGAAATCAAGGCATCAGTTCCGTCAACAGTAGGGAAACACGGTGAAACTCTATTGGATGATGAAAATATCATGCGCGAATACTCTTGACTCCGCCCATAAATCGTGATCGATGATTTCTATTGGTTAATTTTTTCCTTTCATTTTTCCTACTTAAAAAAAAAAAAATGTTAAAAAAGGAGAAAATCAACATTCGAGAAACAAAAACGGATTTCCGGTTTTCTTTCTCTTAAATTTTAATCGTTATAATTATTAATTGAAACAATCTTTTTTTTCGCGGAGAGGGGAGGGGGGGGTTTTCTTTTAATAAAAATATAAAAGAAAAGTTTTTGGGGGTACCTGAAAACAAAAAAAAAATTTATTCAAGTTAAAATTATTCAATAAATTATTATATTTCCATTTTTTTTTTATTTTTCTCCATTGGAAAAAAGATTAAAATTTTTGGAAAATTTATAATTTTATTTATTTATTTATTCGAACACTTTTAGAATTTGACAAATTTATTATTATTATTATTATTATTTATTTTAAATAAATAAGTTTTGTGTTTTTTTTTTGTCTTTTCACATTTTATTTATTTATTTTATTAAAAACTATTTTGATAGTTTAACGTTTGAAAAATTATTATTTGAGAAAAATAATGTACAAAACAAATATTAATTAAATACATTTTAGATAATAATAATAATAATAAGATAATAAAAATAAATTAATTAATTGAAGTGAAAAATATTTAACTTGACAGGACAATGAAAAAAATAAATAAAAGAAAAGGTCGGGTAAGTTTTTATTTGAAAAAAAAAAAAAAAAAAAACGACAGGAGAAATGGGAACTGTCAGAAGAAAATGGTTGACGGAAAGAGTTGAAATCGAGGGAAGAAAGGACTAAACTTCTTCATGGGGGGGCCCCAAGTTATCTTGACAGGAGTTAACCTCGGGCCGTAAACCTCCTCCCTGTTTGTTTTTTTTGACAGCTGGGTTTGACTTGAGAGGGTTTTCATAAATACTACGACATTTGCAATTTATATCGACTCCCCGGACGAAAAAAAATATTTTTTTTTATTAACTTACAAACAATTTTTTGAAAAAAAAAAAAAAATTTTCTCCGTTTAAAATACTCAAAAGAAAAAGATAGAAAACAACAGAAACACGTTCAACAATGAGACCGTAAACATTTATAATGAACAACAAAAAACTGACAGGGAAATAAAAAAAAAAAATGCTTCCAGGCTATGAAGCAGACAAGAAGCGTGCAAATTGATGTGACGTTCATGTGTGTGCGTGCGTGTGCGTGCGTGTGCGTGTGTGTGAAAAACTCACATTGAATAATATTGAATTTGACAAAAATCAATTGATGACTTTTATTTAATTTTTTTTTTATTTTCTCCTACGTTTTTTTTTTTTTTTTTTTTATTTACTACGAAAAAAAATTTTTTATGTATACATAAGTTTAATAAATATAATTTATTTTCTTCAACTTGACTTTAAATAAATATATAAGAGAATAAAAATTTTTCCAGTCGGTTTTCTCTCCAGCATCATAAATAATTTTAAATAAAAAGAAAATTCAACGACTCAACCTGCATTTTTGAAACGACAGAAATTATTATTATTATTTGTTTATTAAATCAATTATCAATAATAGTGAGTTTTTGACAACCTATTGACCTTTATCTACGATTAAACTAATATTTTAAAATTTTCCGAATTTTCATTTTTACCTTTTCCTACCTTTATTGTGAATTTTCCTTTCACTTATTCAAAAAAAAAAAATATATATAAAAATAAGAAGTTTTGATAAGTTTTAAGGTTTTGGATAAATGTAAAAAAAAAAAAAGGAAGAAAATGGAGAGAGAATAAAATGAAAAAAAAAAAAAAAAAAAATCCGAGGAAAATCTGTAGAGAGAGAGAGAGAGAGAAAGAAAAAGAGTTTGATGGGAAAAGTGGGGGAAAAAAGTTTTTGGGCTCAGCTGGACGATTGAGTCAGAAGCAAAAGGAAGATCGATATGGCACTCGAGAGAGCTGGATTTTTGTATCGCATATGTTTAACTTATGGAAACGTCCCAAAGGTTTTTACCACTTGATTCAATAATTCTTGTATCAATTTCCAAGTCCCTGTCAAGCCGGTAATCTTTTCAATTTTTTTTTTTATTTTATTTTTATTAAGATTAAAATTAATTTTCCTTTGATTTTATTATTGTTACATTAAACTATTATTATTATTATTATTATTATTATTATTATTACATTTGATTGTATTACAAAAAAAAAAAAAAAAAACGGAAAATTCGAAAGTGGAAAATTTTGTTTTTTTCTCAAAAACTTTGTAAAACTGTATCAAACTCGTACTTATTGAACTTAAAATAAATAAATAAATAAATAAAATACATAAATAAGTTTTTTTTTTATATGTTTAATAATAATAATAATAATTATAGTATTAATTTATTTATTTTTTCCTTTTTTTTCCTTTTTTTCCTTTTTCTCCTTCTCCTTCTTCTCACGTGTGGTTCTAATATGCCATCCAAATTTAAATTAGGATCTAATATATTTGACATGGCCGCTTCTTTAGCTTCTAGCGTAACCGGAAATTGAGCTCTTTTTTTTATTCTTTTATGATCTAGAAATTTTTTCACCCGTGAACGAGAATAATGCACGTTCGGAAAATCATTTTCTTCATCGCTAACAAAATTATTTATGATTCGAAAATGATTTTTAACAGAATTTTTCATTTCGTTATCGGACATGCTTGTCTATAAATAAATAACAAAAAAAAAAAAATAATAATAATAATGATAATTACAATTTAAATAAAGTAATAATAATAATAATAATAATAATAATAAAATAAAAAATCCATTAATTACCTTTGCAAAGGATTTTGTTCCTTCGTTAAAAGGCATTTGACTGTTTGTGTAATCCAAAAAGCTCCTTTTCTTTTGCACGAGAAAAACAACGTTATTATTATTATCATTATTATTATTATTAATTAAATCCCATTTTTCTTTATCATTTTTAATATTTTTTAATTTTAAACAACAATTATTACTAATCGGAACAAATGTTTTATCATTTAAACGTAATAAAATTTTTTTCCCGTTTTTCTCATTATTACACGGTTGTAATAAGTCTCTCAAAGGAACAATATTTCCAGATGAATCTCTTTTACTCTCACAATCATCATCGATATTTAATTTTGGAAAAGGATGGAAAAATTTTTTTTTATTTTTATACAATTTTTTTTCTTTTTCGTTCCATTCGATGGGTAATTCTTTCACACTAAAAACAAAACAAATATCATCGATTATCATTATTATTCTTTTTTTTTAATTTTTACATTTAAATAATAATAATAATAATAATAATAATAATTTTGTTGTTACCTGTCAATCAATTGTAAATCTTCTAACCGACCATTAACAATATATAAATCATTTATAATTAATAAATAAAAAAAAATTTTGTTTATAAAATTTTTCTCCATTTTTTTTAAAAGCCATTTTGTTTTTTGTTTTTTTTTTTCTATCAATTGTTTATGTTTATGTTTTTAATTTTAAAAAAAAAAACCTCAGAGGTTTAATTAAAAACAAAACATAATTTTTTTTTTTTTTAAATTTCCATTCAACGAAACTTATTAAAAACATAGTCACGTGATTAAGAAAATTAAGAAAATTTTTTCTTTTCATTTAACAATTATTATTATTATTATTTTAAATAAATAATTGATTTTACAGGAAATAATTATTACAAAAAACAAATTCATTGGCATATAAAAAATTTTTATCATTACTGTAATTAACAATAATAATAATAATAATAATAATAATAATAATTACAAGTGTGTCCATGATGACAACAAAAAGTAAGAAAAACAGGCAAGAAAATTTACAAAAAAAAATTTTTTTCTTATATACATATATATTAAATAATAACAATTATTATCATTATTATTATTATTATTTGAAAACATGTAATAAATTAAGCATTAGTGAAAATAATAATAATAATGATAATATTATAAGATGGCGAAATTTGGATTTTCTTTTAAAAAAAAAAAAATTTTGAAAACAAGGCATAAAAATTTTTTACAGCATGAATTATAATAAAAAAAAAAATTTTAATAATAATAATAAGAAGAAGAAGAAAAAAAAGGAATGCAAAATGACAATAATTAAAAAAAAAGAATAATAATAATAATAATAATAATAATAATAATAATAAAAGCCGATTTCGTAATAATAATAATAATTAAAGTAGTATAAAAAATTTTTTTTTTTTTTTTTTTTTTTTTTACTCTATCACAAAAGTATACAAAATGAAAAAGAAGTCAGGAGTTTATTTATTTATTAATTAATTTATTTATTTATTTATTTTCTAAAAAGTAGTAATTTTTTTTTTTTTTTTTTAAGTAACATGCATAAAAAACATTTTTTTTTCTCTCTTTTTTCTTTTATTTTCTTTCTCTTTTTATTATTTTTAATTTATACATTTAAAACATATAAATTTTATTTACAAAAAAAAAAAAAAAATTGGATGTGAATATAATATCCACAAAAGGTAAAAATTTTCTTAATAAAGAACATTATTATTATTATTATTATTATTATTATTACAATCATAATTATCCATAAATATTTCTCTTACATTCTCATTCGTTAAAACAAAACAATAATAATAATAACAATTAAATAATAATAATAATAATAATAAAACTTTTAAAAATTGATTTAAAAAAAAAAAACAAACAAATTTTGTGCAATTTTTTTTAACATAATAATAATA